ATCCATTTTCTCTTTGGTTTTTGTCTTCGAAAAACATACGAATTTTTTGTTAGATTGCTTTTAGTTGTACTTTGATTTGCAAAGAACCCATCCTCTGAGGTTTTCATGTTGTCTTGTTCCACCAATTTCTTGAATTTCGGTTTGATATTTTCAATGTTTCCAGTTGTTACGAAGACTTGGTTTGGAAAAACAACATCATCAGTACACTTGAAAATCAAGTAAACCACTGTATTCGCTTCTAGGTAATGAACACCTAGTTCAGTCAGCACTTTTTCAAACTTTTGTGTATCTCCATACACTTGGTCAACAACTATTCGAGGAATTTCTTTTTCGTTGGTTACTTCCTTTTTCTTCATTTTCTTCTCTTCTTTCTCATCATCACTATCATCTGTTTGGCTATCTTTGACTTCCACAAAGTCCACATTACAAACTTTCAAAGTTGAGGGTTGATCAATGTCAATCTCAACCAACAAATCCTTACCTTTTTCCTTTCCTTTAAATGATGATGCAACATTTATAATAAACAACTGAGAACAATCAACATCCTTAATATCACTGATTTCACTAATATTGTTAGAATTATCCTCAATATCAGCAAAATTAGATTGATAATCAGATGTTGAATTCTCAGTCTTTTTCAAGATGTGAATTTGTTCAGACTTAGTCAAAGTGGCATTTACAATATTAACCAATTTAGTTGAATCAAGACATTCATCTACTTTGACTATTCCATATCTATACTTATCATTCGGAACTTTGTTAAAATCAGCTACTTCTTTTTCACAGTCATACGAAATGTTATCTACCGTAGCTCTTTCAAAAGCTAAAAATGGCAGCAATTTTCTATGTTGTTCTTTACTGATTTCACACGAATGATGTAGTTCAGTTAATTTCCCATACAATCTTTTAGCCGAATTACAATAAATGTTCCTCTTGGCTAATAACAGTTTAGATTCACTCGACAAATTATCCCTATCAATCATGATATTAGTTATTTTAAGTTCTAAACAATCTATCTTAGTAATTTTCGAATCTAGTTTCTTACGTGTCTCTAGCAACTGCATAGACAACTTCTTAGCCTCATTGCTAGCAGATACCACAATTGAATCAAAATAAGTAACAATTTCATCGAAAGATACTAATTTAGAATTATAAGCATGAACTGGAATATTGAAAGATTCAAGAATATTACGTACCTTTGTGGTCATCGGAGATTTGTCAGCGGCTTTTGATACGAAGCAACTCCCATGAACTTCGTATGCCTCCTCATCTAATTCTTCCTCCATCTTTGCATACATTGCTTCGTGGGTTGGATTTCGCATCTCCTCATCATCTGATCCAGATGACCAAATTTGATAAGTTTTATCTTCTTCTTGTTCACCATGAGCAACTAATGAAAGATTCTTTGTCTTCGCACGCAACTCCTCCAACTTTTCCACATAATACGCTTCATCCTTCGTCTTATTCTTTTTCTCATCTCTCTTCCTCAACATGCAATCATTAGCTAAATGATTAGCCCCATTGCAATAATGACAATCAATCCCAACATCTCCCTTCAACTTCTTCTTTGTTTTTCCCTTAACAACCTTCATATCTTTCTTCTCCTCCTTCTTCTTCTCATCCCCAGCACTTTTACTCACAAAATTCTCTTTTATCTTAGATGACTTTGCCTTCGGATTGAATGGCTTTTTGAAGAACTTTTTCACATGATTGTTTGAATAGAAAGCAATTGCCTCATCATCTGAGTTCATGATGAACCCTTCGTCTTCATCTGACACATCTTTCTCAGCTTCCCTTTCAGATATCTTTGAAACCAAAGCTAATGGCCCTCCCAAACTTGCCTACGATTCTTCAGCAATTTCATTCACTTCGCTTTCATGAGACTTCAGCTGATTGTACAAGTCATTCAAAGTTGACGTATCAAAGCTCTGTTGATTCTTAACAATCATGATCACAGTACGCCATTCCTTACGAAGACCCATAACAAAAATTAAATTGAACTCCATGGTTGATCTGGTGATTCCATATCGATTACATCGTTAGATTAATTCATTAAGACTATCGTAGTAAACTTCAATCATTTCACCATCTTTTTGTTTGAAGTCCTTCAGTTCCACTAAGCATTGCTTCACAGAGTTAACTTTTGTCTTCTCACTCCCCTAAAAATTTTCCTTGAGATTGTTCCAGATTTCCTTTGTAGTTGTACAACTCCTAACATAGTTGTAAACAACTGGAAGCAAAGATCATCTTAGCTCTCTCATGCATCTCTTCTCTAGCTTTTTCAAACGATCAGACTGATTCTCAACTACGGAACTTACATAAGATGATCCAATTGGTTGAATATTCGTTGGTGAATTAAGATTATCAGAAATGCAATTCCACAGTTCTTCATCCAATCCGTTGAGATAATCCTGCATATGATCAGCCCATTGATCGTAATACTCAGGGATTAGCATAGGAATTTTGGTGGATGATCCTAAAAAATGATAAAATGAAATCATGGAATTAAGATTGAAAAACACCATTGATGTACGGAATAAAACCTTAAGAATTTTTGAAGAAACTTTAATAATTTGACAACAAACTCTATGATTCAAACCAGAATCACTAGTAGAATACTCGATTCAATGATTCAAATGCATAATCGAATCACAGACTTAGATCTAATGAATTTTTCACTATCAAAAATTGCGGAATTTCTTAAACCAAAAAGTTGATTTAAAAACTTTTGAATATATGAAAATCAGATCAGAGATATGATTCCTGCTCTGACACCAATTGATGAAGCAATGAATCAAGTATGAAATGAATCGGAGTTTAATGATCAAAGTAAGATTGCAAGATTAGAACACAGATGTAAATATGATCTTGTTTCAGCTTTATTACACTTTCAAGTTTTACAGAGTATCAAATGACAATTCTATAAAACACCCATATTTATGACTCTAGTAAACACTCCTATTTATAGAAGAGGAAAACATACAAAAAATATACTAAGAACTAAGCGTTAAGCTTCGAATACAATGCCTTAGTAAAATAGATTAGAAAAGATAGTAAGACTTAGTACATTCGAAGACATGAAACCCTTCGACTAATTACAACTCTATATATATATATATATATATATATATATATATATATATATATATATATATATATATATATATATATATATATATATATATATATATATATATATATCCCTAAAAAGTTGTTGTATTATCAATGTGTGCAGCCAACTTTAGCTTTGTTTGCCGAAGAAAAAAAAAACTCAGGAATTCTTATCAATATTGGTTTTCATCAAACATGTGTTGTACTAAGTATGCTAAAAAAATATTTATTTATTTATTTATTTGTTTGTTTGCGAAAATCTACCAACATATAGCTTTGTATTTTTACGAATACTATGTATAGCATATAAAGCATTGTAATTTGATTCTTTGTAAAATTACCAACATTTAAAATTACATTTTCTTATAGCAATATGAAAAAAAAAATTAGAACCGGAATATGTAAAGCATTGTAAAATTTGTGGTTATTTCCTGATTTTTATATAACACTATGAAATATCCTCCACCCCGCAACTCCAACACTTGCAACGCGGGATTTCTTCCCTAATTTTTAGTAAATGTAAAAGTTCCAAAACTTAAAACACTCTTAAAATCTTCATTTCATTCTCACCGGTTGTTAAATATTATATATCTAATCTAATTTAATATTATCACCGAACATAAACATATGCATTGTCCGTGTTTTTTCTTTTAATTAAATGAACAAAAAAATAATATTCATGTTTGTTCCGTTATTACACAAACAAACTTTCACCACAACTTTCCGTCAAACGATCTAAAAACGATATCTAAGTGTTTATTCCTTTACAACACCAAATGTTTTTACTTTAATTATGAATTAAGCTATTTTTGCAGAAGGTTAAGCATTTATTTTATCTACCTAATGGTCTAAAATATATATCTCATTTAGTTGCTGCATAATTCTTGAGATGAGATTGTATAAGAATAAATCATTTAGGCTCTACCCACTTTATGGGTGTCACATCATCTTCTTCTTTCAATAACATATCTATAAACATCGAAATGAAATGGTGTTTTTTATTTGAAACGGTGTTGAGAAGAAGCAAGTCAGGAAAAAAAAACAGAGGAATAACACGCGTTTCGTCCCATTACCACCATCACATCCTGGTGGCATAACCGATAACGACTGGCTGGGGCGTTGTTCCTGCCGCCATGGAGCCGTTAAGAGCCTGCCACATAAGCATAACGGGCGGTGGTGTTGCCCGCTCCGTATAGTCTTAAATAGAAAATTATTGAAATTTTAAAGAATAATTTTTGTATTTTATGTTTTTATAAATATTAATAAACAAAAGCAGAAAAGGCAAAATAGCAAAAATCCATAAAAGCAATATGTTATTGGTCACTAGAGGCACCCAACCCAATTGGTTCCTGTTTTCACTCATTGGTCTCTTTCCTGTTTCACTTTCATCATCTCCCATACCTCTTCAAGATCTTCAAACTGTATCAACACGGCACCTGTCAATTGGGAATTCTCTTTCTCCGTTTCATAATTGGATTTTGAATTCTTTCACTCTCTCTCTTTTCTCAATTGGTACGATTCCCTCTTCTTAATCTCTCTCTCTCTCTCTCTCTCTCTCTCTCCTTGTTATTGTCTCGGAATATTCACTCCCTTCACTCTGCTATCTCATGTTCACTAACCTTCAAAAAATGATTAGCAAATCGACATGGGTTTTTGTTAATTTTCATGGGTTTTACACTTTACAGAATGTTTGTTAATGTAACGATTTGTACTTACCTTTTTTCGTATGATTTTAAGCTTTAAGCTGTTCTGAATTGAGCTAGTATTGATTTGGTATCCTTTTTATCGATAATCTAATAATCTAATGATCTTCATACGTAAGTTCGCAGGAAACAATCATATGGTGTTGGAAATTGATTCAATCTGATCTGGGTAATTGGATTATAGTTATGACGATGGACTCTGTTGATTACAAAGAACATGAAGGTTTGATTCCGATGAGTTCAGTTCCTTGGTGGAGTGGACTTGTGACTGGATCATCTCTTGAGGAATCCATGAAAGCGAAGCCTTCATCAATTCACAACCACACTACTTTCGGATCAAAATTCACACCTAAACGATCAGATCATGATCATGATCATGATGCAGACCAAGTGTTCGACAAAAGGGATATAACTCAGTTCAGTATATTCACTGGTATGCTTTTCAGTTCTTTGTGTTCATCGACCTGTTCCTCAGTTAGATCCTAAAGGTTTTATGGATTTATAAACAAATCGGTTTAATCTTAAAAGTAAAATGTGTCTTCGAGTTTACATCTGAAGATTGTGTTGAATTGAAACAGGAAATGTTAGTGGAAAACTTGATCAATCGGCATCGGATTCTGATGAGTGCAACAATTCATCCAACACCCAAAAACCAACGAAAATTCAGACATCTTTTTCAATGGAATCTGTTCCTTCGGACTATCTTAGATTTGGTCAACCTACCATGGTACGATTTTATCTGTTTGTTACACAGGACAAGACATGATAAAACGGTAACAGTTTGTTACACAGGATATGATATGATATGACAGAGTGGTGACAGTTTTATAATGACATGACATAACAAAACAGATGATATGATATAAGAGTGGTGACAGTTTTATAATGACATCACATAACAAAACAGTATTAGAAATGATATTCAGACTAATATTAATGAGACAAAAACGTGTTTGTGTTTGTGTTTGATTGATTGGAAATGATACGGAGAGTTTAAGATTGATATTAATTAGACAAAAAATACAAACTTTTTGTTGTCTTATGTTTAGTGATGTTTAGTGTAATAAATGTGGTTTAAATGTTATTCTTTTGATAATATTGATTTTTATTATTATCTTATTATATATTTTCTTGATCAAATGGTGATGTAGCTTTGTGGAAAGTATAGAGATCAATGTTATGGAGTGTTCTCAACTCAAGGACATCAAATCACGGTGTGTGTCCTTAGTTTGTTTACATTTGTTCCTATTAATTAAGCAAAAAAACAAATATTTTCGTATCAAATAGCACACCATAAAATTATAATATTATACTTTTTGTATTTTATTAGAAGTTATGTTTTAAAAAATCTATCTAATTGTATTTTGGATGATATAACTATAATGAGGTAGGATTTCAAAATACAATAAGAAAAATTAAAGTAAGATGCTAAATTAACAAATCAATAAAATTAAATTACATTCTTATTTCTTGCAATTTAACCCCTAAAAATTTTATTTAAGTATCATGGGTTAAAAGAACAAATCACTTTTATGTTTATTCTATTTGGATGAATGTGCTTACTTAGGAATCTGATTCATAATTTTTTTTATTTATATTGGTATATATTGAAATAACATTTATTATCTTTTCGATAATTATTCAGGGTCGGATAATGTTGCCTTTAAACTTAAGCAATGATGATGAACCGGTTTTTGTGAATGCAAAACAATATCATGGAATAATAAGACGTAGAAGATCACGTGCTAAGGCAGAAATGGCAAATAAAGTTTTGAAAAATCGTAAGGTATGTCTTACATAATCAAAGATTAAATTATAAATTTTGTTGTTATGTTATAATCAAAATTACAAGTTCAGTACAAATTTTAAAATTTTTTCATTGTCGACCTTTCCTTTTGCATCTCATTGTAGATACAGTCTTTATGATTTACTCAAAATCGAATTATAAACATAAAAGATAATATTGGCACAATTTTAAAATTCATAGCAATTATGAGTTAAAAAAATAGGGACCAAATTTGTAATTTGGTCATAGACCATATGGAAGAATAAGTACAAACTTAAAGACAATGTTGACACAATTTTAAAATTCATAGCAATTATGAATAAAACAATAAAGACCAAATTTGTAATTTACTCTTTTCCAATATAATTAGTTGATGGATCATTTTTTTTTTACGAAATTTAAGATATTTCCAAATCACAAAAGTTAGTTTACAAAAAAATATGTAACTATTTATAAGGTATAGAACTAATGTAAAATTTAATCCGATATTTTTTTTATGAAAAACATTATTATAATTTATAATTGTTATAATTCATAATAATTTATAAGTTATATGAAACATTATTTATAAAGTAACACTAGTAAATGGAAGAAATGAATATATATATATATATATATATATATATATATATATATATATATATATATATATATATATATATATATATATATGGGTTCAGGTTCATTTGAAACCATACTAATTTTGTGAGACCGTGAGAGCAAATCTAAAAATAATTTTATTTTGCAAAATAAAAAGAAAAATCCAAAAATTCTTTTTTTTAATTATTATTTTCGGAAATTTATTTACCTAAAAAAATTAAAATAAAATAAAATAGATTACCGTCTTTTTTTAAATATGTGAAATATTCTAATAGAATATTACACTGTACATTTCTCATATGATTTTTAGAATGTTTAGAATATTCTACTAGAATTATCAGATATGTAGAATATTCTAAATATTCTACTAAAATATGTAACAAATGTATTTTTGTATTTATTTTTTATTTTTTTGGTATTTTTTATTTTTATTTTTTTGGAAAATATATATTCCGAAAATAAAATTGGAAAAAAAAATTCGAAAATTTTCAATTATTTTACATTTTAAAAATGTTTTTTGTTTTATCTACTAAATGAGTTGCTAGGATTTCGTCTTACGGTCTCACAAAATTAGGTCGCCTCACATGAACCTAACCTTATTATATATATATATCCGGTAAGAATTTTTTTTTTTGTAGGAAGGTAAGAAGTTTTTTTCTACATATTTTTTTGACGAACAAAATAAATGAATCACTAGATAATTCATTTGTAAGATGATTCACAAGAAAAAATTCTCATAAAACATCTTTATGATTCATTTTTAAGTAAATTAAGAAAAAATTAATTTTTATGATAATTTTGTGAATAACAACAAAATGATTGTATAAATGAATTATCGAGATGTTTTTTTTGAGAATTTTTTCTTGTGAATCATCTTACAAATGAATCATCTAATGATTCATTTTGTATGTTCGGGAAAAAATATACCTTCCTACCAAAAATTTTCTTCTTATGTATAGTTTCGATTTAATCAAACTTAAAACTTATGGGTAATTTAATCCACTTTAGTACGATTTTCTAGCTTAGACACTCACCTTAAACTTTTATTATAAATTTCGTGGCTTATAGTATATTATTCAATATTCACCATGAAAGCTAAAAAAATTATGTATTTTTTAATCGTTTTTTTATGTGTAGCCATATATGCACCACTCACGTCATCTCCATGCAATGCGTCGACCAAGAGGGAACGGAGGCCGTTTCTTGAACACCAAAAAGGAAAACAACTGCAAAGATGAAAATACACATCTAGAAAAAGACAAAAACCTTTTAAAATCTTCTAATTATGCCATTTTCATGTCTGATCATAACACCACTATCTCTCATCGTGAACCAAATAACATGTTCTCAATGGGAAACCTTTCGGTGGTTTCTTTTTCAGAAATGATGTCCGGGAACACAGCTTCCGGACATAGTTTTGGCATGCATGGCAAATGGGTTGCAGCGGCAGGTGGTGGTGATAGTCGCTGCAATTTTACAATTTAATGTGAGATGAGATCCTGATGTGTTGTATGTATATCAACATATCGGGACCTCTTATCTTTACAACCAGATGAAATATTTGAAATATTTATCTGGTTGTCTTTGGCAACTCATCCTTGGCTTATTGTGTTAAGGTTGTCTCTAACCTTTCTTTCGTTGCATTGCATGATGTGCAATGTTTTGAGAGGAGTTATGGGATGTTCATAACCTTAATGCATGTTAAAAAAATGAACAAACACTTGGAGATCGATGTGTTTGTTTCATCTTTACTTAAATGTTGTTGAAATAAATCCGCAACTATGACTTTTTTGGTCTAGTTGTTGGTTTAAAAACTTTAGTATATGTAATTTCTACATTTTGTGTAACTATAAACTTCTAACTTTGGGTGGTGTAATATATTTCTATGTTGGTTACTAGATGTTTGTTACTAATTATTTTATGTACTTCTCGACTTTTGCAAGTAATTTTTTTAAGATTTTAAGGCTTTATATATTTAAATAAATCCTAAATGAAAAATAGTAATGTTATATTTTTTTTATAATATTATAATTTTTATTGGTTTTAGATTTTTTTTTTCAAAACCGACACAAATAATCTAAATTATTTGGTAAGACAACAAAAATAACTTAGTAGTTTTTTGATAAGATAACTCAATGAGTAACTACTTTTTCAGCTAGCACAACAAATAATGTCTAATTTTTCACAAAATAAATATATTCATTATAATAACTTTATAAATTATATTATTATACATGAAAAATATAAAAATTAGATTTAATCTAAACAATAAATTAGCATCAACTTAATTTGTTACAGGACATCACGAGTAATAAATATTTTATATATACTATTATTGTACAAATTAATAATAAAATATGAATGTATAATTTCGAAATCCAGCCGGTTTGTAAATGAAACTTTAACATTAAACTTGAGATTAATGAATATTATAACATTATATCTACAAATGTTTTAAAACCTGGATCAAGCCAGTTGAACCATAACCCGGTGAAGATAGCAGGTTTTTACATATTTATGACTTGGATTGAACTCGTCAGGTTTATAAAAAACTCAATTGAACGGTTGACCCGAAATCCAAGTCGACCAAACGGTTATGATTTTTCTTTTTTCCGTTATCGTTTGAACCTGTGGACGTATTAGTTTTGTATATAAATTGATGTTGGTTTTATATATTTTTTTTTAGTATTATTATTATTATCTTTTAATACTTTACTCGGATAAAATAGAAACTTGGATTTTGTATCATGGAATTAGAGTCAATAATGTATATCATGCATGTTCGGAAACAAAAATTCATGCATGTTCGGAAACAAAAACAATAGAAAACTAAAAGGGATTATATAATATAAAAACACCACACATACGATTAGATATCATATCATAATCCTTTTTTCATTTTATTTTAGGAAAATCTTCAGAAAAATTCCAAAATTTTTGTCCAATTTATGAAAAACTCTCAAACTAAATTTTGTTAATAGAAAAGCACAGACTACCGGCTAAAACTTCGAAAAAACCCTTTTTGACCAGTTTCGTAGATTTAGCCAGTATTCTGTCCTTTTTCGTTAGTTTGCTCAAAATATTAGGACTTTTTTGAAAATTACCCGATAACCAAAATATTAGGACTTTTCTGAAAATTACTATGGAATTAATAGATATTATTATTAACAAATCATTTATAAACATAACAAATATTTTTTATTATAAACAAAGGAAATACATTTGTATCTAATTTCTAGGAATAGAATGGTCGACATGGTCTATTGTTTGTTGACCACTTCAAACTCCTTAGGCTCCTCCTATGTATCATTATAAAAATGTTGATAATATTTATTAATACACAATTAATAAGTATCTACTTTCTATTAGGTGTGACGCTATATGATCACATGTTATTAGAAAATATCATTAAATAATAATTCTTGAATATATAGATCTTTCATTATGTTCTTTAACGTAAATACCACCTAACCTCCATACATTATTCGGTAACAACCATCAAATTACAAACATGGTGAAAAATAAACACTGAATGACAATTTACATAGATAATCACCCTACAATTTTTTCCACGTAAACTATCATTTACGATTTACTTTTTCACATTTTATAGATGTGTGTTAGTCTATGGTTGTTACCGTGTGAGGTATGGATGTTGGGTGGTAGTTAGGTTAAATAACATAAGAGGAACACCAACATTAGATGAACACTCACTGGGTACATCTCATCATCATATGCACAACGATGCATAGGAGGAACGTAGAGAGTTTGATGTGGTTAATAAGCAATAGAGGAGTACTTAGACCACCAATTTATTCCTAGAAATTAGCAACAAGTGTATTTTCTTTTTTATAATAAAAATATTTATTATGTTTATAAATGATTTGTTAATAATAATATCCATTAATTCCATAGTAATTTTCAAAAAAGTCTCAATATTTTGGTTATAAGGTAGTTTCCGGAAAAGTTCCAAAATTTTAAGCAAACTAACGAAAAAAGACGGAATACCGGATAAATCTTCAAAACCGGTCGAAAAGGGTTTTTTCGAAGTTTTAACCAGTATTCTGTGCTTTTCTGTAAACAAAATTTAGTTTGGAACTTTATCATAAATTGGACTAAAATTTTGGGACTTTTCTGGAGATTTCCTTTATTTTATGGATATTTTTTTACCATGTGCGGCTTTGCGCTAACAATTCACCACCGAATGACATTTTCATAATATGAGTGAAGAGTATGATAGTATTCCTTTTTTCATCTTATTTTCATTGTATTTGTTAGCAGATTTTTAGGAAGAAACGTGGAAGTGAGAACAAAGAAAGTAATGTGATTGAGAGAAAGTAAGAGATGATCAATGGTTTTCTCTTAAGAAAATAATCAAAACGATGTCGTTTTGACAATCAGGTTGTACATGTTGACACGTGAAACAACAGGTCAACTCAAAAATTGTGTTTTAAAACATTGGAGATAACCAATAAATCAATAAAACAATTTTACATCAAAAATAGCACAATATGAAATTTGGTGTGAGATGGAAGATTTTAAGTTCGAATAATGACTTCAAAGCTTATTTTTGTAATGTATTTTATTGCTAATTTCTAGACCTTATCGATTAGCAGAAAATTACTAATTGAGCCTACGTTTTGTTGTTGATTTTTATGTGTTTTTTTTGTCGAATAGAAATGAGAAACTAGTATAGCATAGAGGGCAATCAACACATGGTTCCTTTACCCCTTTTTACCTTTTATAATAAATTTATCACGTTGCATTTTCGTACATATAATTAGTGGCAGAGCTATTAAGGGCAAGGGAGGCCATGGCCCCTAGCATTTTAGCCTAATTGCTACACTGAACATATACATATCCTATTTTGCTATATACAAAAATTAAATCTTTATAGAAAAAATGATTTAAGAAAATCAAGATGCATAAAATGTTTAGTGGCAAAAAGCAAGAACAATTAATTATGCTAGAAAATCAAAATAGAGAATATAACAAATCCTACTTAATCCGATCTAATCGCAATATACATAGTTTGAAACCCTTACATCAACAAAACCTGCAAATCTTGAAAACTATCAAACTATAAGAATTTTTATAAAACCCACAAGTGTAAATAAATCTAAAAATGTCAAATACCTATAGAACCCTAACCGCAAGAAGCTAACTGCGTCTCTTCATCACCGGTTACAATCATACATGATAACTCCGGTCACGACTCCGCCAGTAGTCGCTACTCTCTGCACCTTCGTGCATCTTGATGTCTTGCCAATTGTCGTCTCGATTTGTTAAGGTTTAGCTTTCTCAAAGGTTCTAGGCTCTTCCATTCTCTCACTTTCTCTCAAAGGTATGATGCTTTCACTTACTCACTTTTTATCGTCCTCGCATTTCCTTTATTTTTTATTGTGATATGTTATTTAAAACATGATTTATTTAATCTTACTTAATGAAATACAACAAGCTAGTGGCCAAGTACGTTGAACTTATTATCTTTTTTGTTTTTTCTTAGTACTACAAAATATAAGCTAGGGAATGTGCTAATATATTTATTTTCTTATTTTCTTTAATTTTTTTTGAAGATATATATATATATATATATATATATATATATATATATATATATATATATATATATATATATATATATATATATATATATATATATATATATATATATAAATGAGCGTTCAATCGATAACATTTCTTATGACGAAAACATTTGAGAACAAATTTGAAGCACACAATTTTTTAAATTAAATATATAAAATAATATTCAATTATTCATATAAATAAAAAATAGTTAGAAACAATTAAAAAACTCACTAACCAACACCACACACCAACGAACTAACACCACCCACCACCACCTACAACCCACCAACCACCATCACCCATCGCTCACCACCACCAACCACCACCACTCACCACCAGCTACCAACCACCACTCACCACTCATCACCACCACCTACCCACCACCAATCAACACTACCAACCACCCATCACCATAACCTACAACCCACATCCACCACCTGTTACCACCACCCACCACAACCACCCCCACCACCACTACCAACACCCATCACCACAACCTACAACCCACTACCACTACCCACCTCCATTACCAACCACCCATCACCACAACCTACAACCCACTACCACTACCCATAACAACCACTCACCTCAAACCCCCACGACCCGCCATCACCACCTACCACATCCCATCACCAACCACCAACCTCCACCCATCCATCATCACCACCACCACCTTCACTACAAACACCGCCACCCACTGACCCACCACTACCACCCATCATCACCACTTGTAATCAACACCACTCACCACCCAACAACACCATCCACGAACACTACCAACCATCCACCACCAACCACCCACCACCCACGAACCACCACCATAACAATCCACCCACCACCAAGCACCACTACCATCCACCCCCCACCTATCGTTTACTACTAACCACTTATCACCATAACCTATAACCCACCACCACCAATCGCCACCACTACCCTTACAACCATCACCAACACCTGCCATAACCACCAACCACCATAAACCACCACCACCACCCACCTCAACCACATACCACCATTACTCCATCTATCACCCACCACCACCACCAACATGTCACACCCCCAAACCAAAGATGGTGGAAACGTCCGGGGGTGGAGGACTTCATATATAGTATCATAATCACAATTGCAGTAGTAATTTAAGCAAACACAACTAATATATATATATATATATATATAATATATATATATATATATATATATATATATATATATATATTATATATAATTAAAAGAGTTACATCATTGTATGAATTACATGTTTCCAAATCAATTACAATATGTTGTCAAAATATGAAATGTTGACACCTTAACGTCCCATCCTCAAAATGCATTTGGTTACTTGTTTAGTGATTTCCTGAGAATACAAGTTGTTTG